AAAATGCACATTTGATGACTGCAGCAAGCTGTATGGGCACAGCGGGGTACTACTTTATAGAAGGTTCATTTTACTCACTGGGGTCTATGTCTAAAGTCAGACTTGGGTACATGTATAGGTATGTGTCAGCTGTGCTAGCTATTGGATATATTTAGACTAATTAAGTTCATTGACAGAACAATTGAGTGGGGAGGAGAGGGCATGGAGGGCAGCCGTGGATGCCAGGGACAATGGGGGAGGAGGATGGGACATGGCAGAGGGTGGGGGATGGGGAATCAAGGATGGCAAAACAAAAGGCAAGGTATGCAGGACATAAGAATTGGAAAATAATTTGCTGAGAACATGTATGTTGATGTGCTTGATTGAGCCAATGCACAGTGTATTTTGGATGGAAAATTCATTTGTGTGTTGTGATGGTGTATAGTGAATTAATGTAGAGAATGAATAAATTAAAAAAAAAGTTAATGGAAGGTACATGCTATTAAAAACTTGTATGACCCCAGGCACACATGTGAGTACCTAAGAGCTGATGGGCTGGAGGACTGGAGGAACGGGACTGCAGTGCAGCTAGACCTTGTGGAGGGTGCTCCCCATCCCCATTGCTCTCCTGTGTACACACACATGCTCTATCATGGAAGATTTAATAAACAAAAACAAACAAACAAAAAACTAGGTAGCTGGATCACACATGGCCAGCTGCACAGTTTGAGTCCCAGACTCGGTGGCTGAAAAACACACCTGGGGCATGTGCATACATATCTAAAATCCCAAGTGGAAAATGGAGGAGAAGGGATTGTAGTGGGCCACTCCCCCTGGGGGATCATTTTTCACTACCTCTTTCTCTCTTTCTCTCTTTTTCTGTCTCTGTCTCTGGGAAATGCATGCACCATTTAGCAAAAATTAAAATTAATTAAAAATTTATGTTAATTTTATTTTTTGATACATATTTTTGAAGCCCCCTTGATAAATATCTCCATCTAAATCTCCTAATCACATTTATTCACTAAAAAAAATATGTGTATTGAGTGCTCTCTCTATACAAGACACTTTTCTAGAAGTTTACTTTGGGATGCATCGGTACAAAAAAAATAGACAACGATCCTAATCAATGGGAAATTAAAAAGAAAAAAAAAAAAAAAAAAAAGACCAAAGTAAGGAAGGTAGTCTCGAGGGACCGTGATTGCTCCACTCTCCATCCAGACCTTTCCTATTAGAAGACCAGATGATCTGGAAACTCCACTTCATTTTTCTCACAGGCAGGACATCGAAATCCTGCCTGTCCTACCTGCCCTTGTCTTTTATGACACTGACTTTCTCCTTACATGCCCTCAGATTTATCCTTTCCTCCAGGACTTTATCACTGCTTTATCTGTTGACATTTTTAGATATAGAGAAAGACCTTGCTTCTGAATTTTTGTGTCTGCTTACTTCCCAGACAGACACTGTTTATGGATGGCCTAGTTCAGCTTTTCAATCCCAAACAACAGAAATCTTAATAAAAAAAAAAAAAAAAACACCTGGCTTAAGGACCCGACCATCTGGTATACCCGAGTTACTGCTACCATTCCAACTGAGTTACCACCACGATTCAATCACCAGTCTGCATTTCTCTAAGCCTCCAATGTCTAAAATGCAATTCTGTCTATTTTCAAGTCATTCTCAATCATCTACAAAATCAAGTTTACCTCTAACAGTCTTTTTCTAGAAGGCAAAAGAAATCAATGTGTTCTCCAGTATGTCTTTGATAAGCAAGTAAGAAATCCCATGTAAGTACATAATAAATATGGGATTCAAAAGAATATAAACTATTCAGATAATACATAGTTGAGTCTTACATAATAATTACTATTTACTCTGTCATAAACTTAAGCCACCAGTGGTTTCTGGATTTACCTCAAAAGTTCTGAGTTTGGGGGTAATTTCTTCGAGCAAATGCAGGTCTTTGGAAACCTTGCTCTTCAGTGTGTTCCACTTTCTTTGGACATCATCACATTCTTGCTTATATATTTTTTCAACATCAGGAGGAGCGTTTTTCTTCAACGCCTTTGTTTCTTCAGCAAGTTTATAGAGTATAAGTTTTTGACTCTCAAGAATTTCATCAAGAGCCTAAAAAAAGTTTTTTAAAAATCAAAAACAAAGTATAATAATGTATCTATTCAGATATAGTAATATAGGCTGTATAAACTCAAAAGGCACTTTTAAATAACCATTTTATCAAATGAAGAATTGTTAAAAAGCTCACAAAAGTAAGCATAATTTTAAAAATTAAAGCTTTTCTTTCAGGAGTTCTGTGTGAGCAACATAACATATTATCAACAATAAAAATCACTAAAACAACGTACCCAGTGTGTGGACCAAGTGTGCAGTGCTCAATGCCTGGTTTCATATTTTAAATTATTTATTTATTTAATATTATTTATTATTATAATTTAATTTGATTTGGGCACATGTGCTCACTAGTGAGGGACAGGAAGAGAGAGGAAAAGTGAGAAAGGAAGCCGCCAGGTTCAGGACTTGAACCATGGTTGGTTATGTGAGAGTCCAGCACCTCAACCACCACGCCTCCTCCTGGCCCCTGGCTGGTCCTTTTCATCAGATGAGACAGTGCAGAAACATAAGGCCACTCAACTAAATGGCCACAGAAGCATTTTTATTCAATTCAAGAAAACATATACACAGAAAAATCAATTCCACTGATATTGGTCATCTTACTGAAGATAGCAAATTATGAACCAGTGAGGAGTTTTAAGCTAACTACAACAGAAAGAGAAAATATGCTTTTCTTTTATTACTGGCATGACAGGACCCTGTCAGGAGTCTGTCTGTGTGTGTGTGTGTGTGTGTGTGTGTGTGTGTGTGTGTGTATGTCTCAAAAATAAACTTTAAAAAAGAATATTTAATAATAACATTTATTTTATCTAAATTTTTACAATATTTAATAATAATTTTTCTTTTATCTAAAGTTCTACATTATAAATACTTTATGGACAAATTTTAAGCAAAAACAGACAATATTTTCTTAAAATTAGACTAAGAAACATTTCAAAATATGTGATACTAGAAAATAGAAATGGCACTAGATATCTAATACCTAAAATATAAATTACCTTTTTTTCTTTCAGGGTCTTCTCCACCTTTGCAAGATCATTGAGGACATTCAGAGATGTTTGGGCCTTATTTTCTGAATCATTTAGCAAATCTTTCAATGTTTTCAATGTTTCCAGATATGCATGTCCTGGCTGGCTCTTCATTTCTGTTTATTTAAAAACACTTACTTTGAGAAAATATCACTAGGAACTTATTATTATATGTACCATTAATTTTAATATGTAAAAAATGAACTCCAGTCCATAATAAGTTAAACCCACTGATTAAAATTAAAAAGCATCTCTGTTAGTTAATAAAATAGATCATTCTACTGGTATTTCTGAAAGGCAGACAGTGACTTCATTCCTGCGGATGTTGATGTTTGCCATATTAACTAAACCGCTATCATTTTTCTTCATTTCACCATGATGAAATGTCTCTCTGAAGATGGAACAACAATGCTCCTTTTGTCCCATATAATCTCTACTTCCCCCATAGCTGCACAAAGAATAAAAGGAAACAAAGGTCCCCTCAATCACTCTTCCAGTAAGTTCAAGCATGTAGACAAACCCATCTGCAGGGTGTGGACATTACATAGGAATACTGTAGCCAGGCTGCCACAGGGACTTGGAGAAATGGCTACTAAAGACACCAGGGATGTGACTACTTCAGTCACCATTGTAAAAATAACATACACTTCCATGCAAAGAAAGTGGGTTCATTTGAGGCACAAAGGGGTGAGAGGAAATAGCAAAAGTTAAACTGTCTACCAATCCTTGTAAAAATGAAAGCATCCTTTGTACCAGTAAGTTCAAAAGGAGGTACTCTCAAGCATTTATTTCACACAAAGTCAGTGAACAGACATGATGTCCACATTCCTTTCTAGAAAAAAAGGCAACAGGATCCATCTGCTTGATATGCACAGGTACGAACTCTTGAAGTCATCACACAATCTACAAGTGCTGAAGGAAGAGCACTGCCTGTAACAATACATAACACAATACGATTCCCCACTTAAACAGCAGCAAAAGAGGAAAGTGTGACAAATGAAAGATAAATTTTCAAAATTATTTTTATTTTCAGATATTTTCTACTATAGGGCACATGCACACCTTTAACAGCTAGCTTTCCAAAACAAGGTCTATTCTAAGAATTCTAAAAGTTTTCCAATTCTAAAGGAGGAAAATGATTTCTTGTAAAAAAAAAATGATATTGCTAAAACTGAAACCATTTTGAGCAAATGAAAGTAAGAGTCCCACTAAGAATGATATTGATGCTGTTTAGCCTCCTCGACCAAAGAAAGAAACAACACCTGTTTCACATCAAAAGGCAAAACAAAAACTCTATCAAAAGCATTATACACTACAAACACAATTTTAGAGTGTGTGATATTTGTATTTGTACAAATGTGTGAATCCAGGAAATAGTCTGATTACACTTTAAGACCTTGAACAATACAAACACAGAAGGAAACAACACAAAGCTGATGCAAAACAAGAAGCTATACTACAATTCCAAACACTGAGAATTATTTTTACATTACAGCAAAGTGAGAAAGAAGATATAAAATCCTCAAAAAAGAAAACCAAGGGGGCAGATGGTGGTACAGGAGTAAAATGCAATGCTCTTCAAAGCAAGCCCACATGGGAAGGTTTCTGATTCAGGTCTGGAGACCTCCCTGAGTACCCCAGGCACGTGCCTGCCCATGACCCAGGGCTACTGATGCTGGGGTGTGATTTATAGCATCAAGACTCTGTTATAAGTGCTCGCTTTGGGGCCAGCAGATGGCATAGTGTTTAAGGCACTAGACTCTCACCTGATCAACTGTAGTTCGAGTCCTCGACCTGGTGGATTGGTTTCTCACTTTGTCTCTCTTTCTTTCTTTCTCTCTCTCTCTGATGAGCACATGTACCTTATAGCAAACTTATTATATACTAAAGAAGTGCTCATGTTCTCTTCCCCCCTCTATCTCTTCCTCACACATGGAAGAAGTCTAAAAGGAAGATGGGCTGACTCTGCAGTCTCATGGTTAAGGCAGACAGATTCCATGCAGATGACTACACAGTTAGGTCCTGGATTCAGCAGCTTGAAAAACATGCCAGGCACTGAGAAAACATGCCAGGCACAATGAGCACCCAAAACTACCAGAAGGAGAGAGAAATGGAGGAGAAGGGATTGAGTGTGACCTTGGAGGTTTGTTTTCTACTCTTGCTCTTTCTATATCTCTCTCTTTCTGGTGAGTGCATACACTTTTAGCATGAAAAATTAAAAAGAGAAAGAAAGAAAGAAAGAAAGAAAGAAAGAAAGAAAGAAAGAAAGAAAGAAAGAAAGAAAGAAAGAAAGAAAGAAAGAAAGAAAACCAAGAGAATGGGTTTACCATTTAGCTGTTCCTGGCGATCTTCTAAATCCTGCTGCACAGCGTGGTAGCGACCCATAAAGCTATCGAAGTCCTGCTGGATGAAAGCTGGGGCAAAAGGCCGAGACTTCAAGGCTGAGCAGCTTGCACGCACCATCTCAATTTGAGGGTGGAGGTCAAGGAGGTCTGTCAGTTCTCGCTAAAAATGAGAAAACGTGGTCTTATAACTCACTGAAGATGAACATTCTCATGGAAATTTAATCAGAGCAGAAATCACTTAAAGCTCATGACACAAGAACTCTCTGGGCCAGCCCTGATAGCTTAGTGGTTAATGGAGCCTGACCCCACATGGCCATGGCTCAAATCCTAGCCATGTCAGCTTAGAAAACACTCCAGGAACATGTGTGTGTTTGTGTGTGTGTGTTCCCAAAACATAAAATGGAGAATTGGAGAAAGAATTGCCGCATAACCACACCCCATTGGAGGGTGCTTTCTATCTCTTCCTCTCTCTTTGTCTCTATGTCTGTCTCTCTCTAGCCAGCACACACACAGCCTCTGGCAATGAAAAACAAAAAAGAAAAAAAAAAAAAAGGAAGAAGCACCCTGTTAAATATGGAGCCAGGTATAGTATTCTTTCACGTTGCAGATAGTTGGCCAGTTGGCTCTTTACCTGACAGGAATCCTTCAAATTTGGTAAGGACTGCTGGGAAGATTCAGCACAGGGGGTGTGTTTTACCCACTCCTCCTTTGACTTTATGATATTTTCAAGCTCATCCAGCTGCTTAAAATAAGCATTTATATCTTCCTGGAGCTTAATTGCTTTTGCTAGATCTCCCAAATGCTGAGACACAGTCTTCCATTCCGATAAAATCTTCTCCAGAACACTGTTTATCTCTTCAACAGAAAGGCCTTCTATACAGACATGAAAAGTAAGCACAAACATCATATATTATTAGAAAACTTGTTTTGAATATGTTCTAAACATTCTAAAATATTTAAAATAATGAGGGAAGCCAGCAGGTGGCGTGGTGGTTAAGGCGCTAGACTCCTATACGGTGAATTATAGTTCATATCTGGAACCAGTGGCTAGAAAATCACACCAGGTGCATGTGCATGTGTGCCAAAAATTTTGAGAGAAGAATGGGAAAGGGATGGCAGTGTAGCCATCCCCCTTGGGGGATAATTTCTCACTTTCCTTCTTTCTATCTATGTCTCTCAAGCAAGAGCATGTGCTCTAGGGGAAAATGCTAAAAATAAATAAGTAGATAAAAATGAAAAACAAAATAATGAGGAATGTCATATATAATAATCACTCCCTTACATCCTTTTTAACAAAACAGCAACTAATTATAATGATACATTTAAATATAATTAAGTTTATTTTAATTGCTCAAAGGATGAGGGGGTCTTGAACCACCAGTTCAGGAGTGGCATGGCTATTAGAAAGGCATAGCAGTAGAGCTCTGACACTGCCTTTTCTTTCTTTCTTTCTTTTTTCAGAGGTTTTAGCTATAGGGCACATACGCTCACCAGAAAGACAGAGAGACAGAAAGCGAGAAATCACCCCCCAGAGGGGATGGCCACACCACAATCCCTTCTCCTCCATTCTCCTCTCGGGATCTTGGGCACGCATGCACACGTGACCGGCATGAGTTTAAGCCACCGGGTCCAGGACTCAAACCGCGGTCGACTACATGGAAGTCCAGCAACATAGCTATTACACTAACTTCTGGTCCTGACACTGCCTTTTCTATAGAATGAGAGTTTCCATCCATAGCACCCCACCACTCTGCTATCTTACAATCTGAGCCAGGAAAAAAAAAATCAACTGCCTGGATTCGCAGGGGCACTCACATCAGAAAATATTCCTTCTCCCATAAGAAAAAAAACCAGCTGGTTAGAAAAACTAGAAGACAGGTCAAGTTTTTGTGACCAAAGCATGGTGTCATATAAATTGCAAAATGAATAGCAAGAATTTCTTTTGTTGGGAAGCAACATGGAAAACACAGGAACATTAGCCAGTAGCCAGGTCCAAGGAGCATCTTCAAGTCCCCTAGGCACACTGCACAAAGATAAGCACATTCCAAAAGATCAAAATAGTGGTAAGACAATCTACTTTAGAAACACAGCAGGAAAAAAAAAATTTTTTAACTGGAATCTTGTCATTTTGTTTGTTTCCTATTTTTGAACTGTGAAGAATGTTCCTGAAGTGATAATGCTATATACAACAACAGGTTTTATCACAGTCCCTCCCTCAGTTTAAAATACTATTTTATTTTAAATGACTATGAAAAAGTATGAGAAATCTGCAAAGGAAACTTTAGAAGAGAACATTCATGTGGAAAAGATCAACTTAACATTTTAATTAGGGCAGACCTCATGGCCTACTGGTTAAGAAAACTGAATCCTGCGTGGCTGACTGAGTGGTTGAAGATGCAGCCCCAGATGCTTGAAAAACATGCCATGTGATGTGCACGCATGCTCAAAATCCTAACAGGATGGAGAACAAATTGCAGTGTGATCGTGCCCATCAAGGGCACTTTCTGCACTTTGTCTCTGTCTCTCTCTGGCACACCCGCCCTCTGGCAAGTAAAAACAACAAACAAAAAAGTTTAGTTACTGAGTCGGAGGACAGTAAAGCAATTCTGCTTTGTGAATTTAAACATATGCAATTAAAATCCTGAGTAAAAAGAGCTCCAACTAAAAAAAAAAAAAAAAAAAAGCAGTAAAAGAGAATGTCACTTAGGAGGTACCAAGGATTCCACCTTAAAAATGTCTATAATAGGGAACCAGCAGTTAGCGTAATGGCTATGTCACTGAACTCCCACGTAGTCGACCGCGGTTCACGTCCTGGACCCGGTGGCTTAAAACTCACGCCGGGTGCGTGTGCGTGCGTGCCCAAGACCCCGAGAGGAGAATGGAGGAGAAGGGATTGCGGCGTGACCATCCCCCCTGGGGGGTGATTTCTCGCTTTCTGTCTCTATGTCTCTCTCTGTCTGGCGAGCGCACGCGCCCTACAGTGAAAATCTCTCAAAAAAAAAAAAATGTCTATAATACACTGTTATCCACTGAAAATTAGAAATGCAAACACACCAGGACATAATTTGAATGTATCACCCGTATCAGTTGCTAAAGTTCATTGTCCACTGCTGTGCTGGGAATAGAACATTAAACCTAGGGAAACATTCACTCCACAGTCCATGTTAAATTATCCTTGTTAATACGGGTCATAAACAAAACAAATAGCCATTTTCAAGACGAACTATCTGAACAATGGCGATACAGTCTGCACTTGTGCGGAGTCATTTCTAGTCTAGGTGGGCACAAGGAGCAACAATGGCCTCTGCATTTTTATGTCAAGGCTATTTATGTTAAACATGGAAGAACATTAAGCTGGTGAAGAATATTTCTGAGATGGAAAATTATCAACACTCATTTAGAATAATGGTAAGAGGTACTCATTTCAGGTACCAGGGAAGCTGGAGAAACTTCAATTATTTATTCTCCAACAATATATCATGATTCAATCTTCTTTGGCCCTTCAAATGAATTCTAAAAGTTTAAATCTCCCCTTCTCGAAGCATGAGATATCACTAGCTGCAATGGTGTCAAATAATGATTAAAGCATAATTTGCACCTTTAAAAACAAAAAGTATTAGATCATCGGGAGAGTCATGACATAGTTTCCTATTCCCTGATGACCCAATATATGTCATCTTTAAAAATGTTTTGCTCCCAGAAATCCAGAGTTGTAAATTTTCTATTTCTACACAACATCCAACTGTTAGAGATGACTATTTAAAAATCAAAGTCAACGGCACATTTTATTAGGTATATAAATAGGACAAAATGCAACATATTCATGCTATTTGCTACCATGTGACTTCACACTTTTTAATCTATCATTATTGAAACGAGGGGAAACGTTTACAAAATCTAGAACCTTTATCACACTTTATAGGCTTATCTACTTAGCGAAGCACAAAAGGATAAGTGCCTTTAACCACCATGCCACCTGCTAGGCCCCAGTGTCACATATTTCAATAAGAGCAAATTTTACTTTAAAATAACCTGTAAATAATAATAATTAATCAAGAGGATGAGGAGTAAGTAAAGGTATCGGTAATTTCAGAGTAGCAGAAATGTCATCAGTTGTTGAAAAAGGTATTTGGTCCAAGGAAGTTCATTCCACTATTCTATTTGCTTTGTATAAGTTATACTTCCTCTAGTTAAAAAGTCAAAAAAAAAAAAAAGATTGAATGCTATTGCTTGAAGATTCTTATCAAACTAATATTCTTAATTCTGCCTTAGATGTCTGCAACTTTCTCAAAGAGAGCTGCAGCAGATCCCTAAAGCACTTTAATGTAATAGTTTTAACACTGAGAAGTAGACTGTGCAAGAAATGTCTTCAAAGCTAGCCCAAGGAAAGAATTACAGGTAGCAAAAAATTAATCTTTAGGATCCTTTGACCTTGGGAATAATGGCCAAAAAAAAAAAAAAAAGTAGTTCTTGCATGCAGCTAAGAATTTCAAATACAATAACCTTATCAAATTTAACTATAAAAAGACTGCAGTAAATTAATGCACTCAACATGATCAAACATCAAGTCCTTTCAATGGATTTACCTTAATGTAAGTTCATTTCCCAAATGCTAAAGTTTTCTTTTGCCAATTCCCTGCAAAATGTCCCAATACATGATCCCAAAGGATGAGGTTTTTTAAATCTATACCAGTGGGTTTTTAACTGGCATGCCTCAGCAGAACAAGTTTGCTATTATCAGTTTCTTGTAATCAATGTCAGGATAAGATTTCATTTTTTAAAAGATGCTGCCACCTAAGAAAAATTTTTAAAATCATTTTTATAGTAAAAAGAGAGTTAAGAGTGTTCAAATAAATATTTGATATGTCAAACTGTAAATGTGATTCGGTGCTACCATCTGAAAAATATGAATAAAAAAAGGGTCTCACCTTTTCCCATCTGATCCATAAGGATTTGTCCAGTTTGATTTAATTCATCCAATCTGGGAATCCTTTCCGTCTGTTCTTTTTCTAATCCCTGGGGGGGAGGGGGGTGTGAAAAAAGTCCCAATTAAGAATATTTCAAAACTTCTACTCAGAATAATATTGAAGCTATTTTAAACTTTTATATTTACTCTCCCTCCCAGGTACTCTCAGTATTTAAGTCAAAGTTTCCTTAAGAGGACATGACAACACAAAACCATCCAATTCCAGGCTATCCTCTAGCACTCCAGAGATGGACATATCTGAAAAGGTAGATTCAAAATAGCAATGATCACGGGGTCAGCAGGAGGCATAGTGGTTGAGGCGCTGGACACCCACATGGCTGACCATGGTTCAAGTCTCAGGCCTACAGCCCAAAATGAATCACAATAAATAAGTAAATATTTTTTAATGTTAAAATAAAAAGTAGCAATGGTCATATCAACTCTGAAACTTTGGCATCTTTTATAATGAAAAAATATACAGTATAATCATGAATTCCTATCAGGAGAAAATTATTAAAATTAGTGTTTCAGATCCAGGACATCTATTTGCACCTGGAAAAAGTCATGGTTTGGGTCAGAAGAGCTGGGTGTGCTATGGCAGAGATTGCTGAACAAAAATGAATCAAGAAGACCAGCTGAGGTGGCACAGCAGCTATGCCATGCCCACAATGCTAAAGCCACACAGGGAAGCCCCAGGTTCTCGCCATGAGGCCTCCTGTACCCACTGGACATGCGTTCCCATGATCTTGGCCAGCTGAGGCTAGAGGCAGATTGCAGAATAAAGTTCCTTTTGGGGGTCTCTCTCTCTCTGTCTCTCTCTTTCAGAATAAATAAATGAATAGGCTTTTAAAAATCTAATTAAGAAAAAGAGATATAAATATTTTGAGCTTTAGTATGGTTTTGCTGGTGTTATGAGAAATTTAGGGTCTCAAACAAACTTTAATCACAAGGATATTTCATACATAATTTTAAAATAATGGCAATGTGCTTGAGAACCCAAACTAAATAATTTTGCTCTTTCTGTTTGAGGAGTGCCTCTTAATTTTACTATTTATATCTCTCTGGGTCACTATTCTCAAGGTAAAAATCTTTCCAGGATTAATAAGAATGGGATGAGTGAAACTGCATGTGCACACACACACACAATCATATGCACTCAACTCAGCATTTGAAATATCCCTCACTTCTCCACTCCCAACTGATTATTACATCTTAATGAATTATTCACATATTGTCCATAGCAGCACAATCAAAACTTTTAGGTAACCCGTATTTCTGCAACCTGACAATGTGAACAAGAATCCCACCTCGAAATTCCTTACATGTAAGCCCTAGCCAGTAAATTTAGCAATCTATTTTGACCTACACAAATTTTAATGTGACTACATAGAACAACCAGTTTTACCGTCAAAGATCAAGAAACAGTGACAAGAGATCCTAGAAAACACCATTTATTTTTGTTCAATTAAGGATCAATACAAATAGCTACCATCAAACTAGAGAAACACAATTACCTGCTTTTATACCTTTTTGTTCAATTAAGGATCAATACAAATAGCCACCATCAAACTGGAGAAAAACAATTATCTGCTTTTATACAAAATAACTGTCTGCTACTTCTTATGGTGGTGGGAAATTAGACTAGGAAGTCTCTACCCAGGTATTTCATCAGTTGCAACATGGTGTTCCTTCACTAAAGCAAAATTAAGCTCATCTTGCCCCAGTTTGCAAGAAAAAATTAGGGATTAGGGCAATGATTACAATTTCTTTTATTTACATTTCTTCCTAACCTTCCATCATCTATCAATCCTTGTCTGAAACAACAAAATAAATGAGTTGGCAAATATTAAATAAAACACACAAGAACTCTTCATCATACCTTACATAAACAAATACAACTGTTATTTTATTTCCTCAAATATTATAGTAATAGTCTCTGCCAGTAAAATTGCTCCTGGATCATAGGGTGAAAGTATAGGACTTGTTCCTTGAGGTTCACGGTTACTTCTAGGTTCTCTGTCACTTGGCTACCTTGAGAATTGGGTGGTTTTGTGATCATAAATGTCATCTCTTGGTCTTTTGGAACTGTAGGAAGCATATGGAATGAAATAACACAGGCCTCACTTCTGGCTCTCAAAACTCTCAGTGCAGAGGGCTCTGACAGTGGTACTCTTAGCTCAACAACAGCCCTCATCCCACCTGTCCGTGGTCATCATGCCTCCTTCCATGAGCCATGAGCTTTACCAACTGCTGGAACTATGGGCACAATGGAAAGTTAGCCTCCCATTTCTAAGAATTCTCAAGTAGGCCTATAAACAAATAACAGTATAAATGCTATAAAGGCTTTCACAGTGGTATAGACAAAGCAATATGGAAGTCAAAAGTTGAATTGCTTGGGACTAGATGGTAGCACCATGGTAAAATACAGTACTCTGCCAGGCCGTCTCACATGGAAAGGTTCTAGACTTGTATCCGGAGACCTCACTGAGTGTGCTGAGCACAAGATGTGTCTATGATCCGCAATGGCTAAGACTGGAGGTGGATTGTGACACCAAACCCTGTAGGGGAGAGCCTGTTTCTCTCTCTCTCATTTTTCTCTCTCTCTTTTTCCCACTTTCTCTCTCTTCTCTCACCAAAGAAAGAAAGAAAGGAAAAGAAAGAAAGAGAAAGAAAGAAAGAAAGAAAGAAAGAAAGAAAGAAAGAAAGAAAGAAAGAAAGAAAGAAAGAAAAAAGAAAGAAAGAAACTTTTATAAAAAGATGAATCAGTCATCCCTTTCTAATGAGACCAAGGGAGCTCATTGTGGTAGACAGCATTTCAGCCACACAGCACGATAGGCTGAATGCAAGGTCATTCTGGGACCAAAACAGAACCTAGCAAAGGCAGTAAAGTGAGAAAAAAGCAGGAGTCAGGAGGGCTGGAGCTCAGGGTACATGCGGGAGGTAAGAGGAGAGGAGGCTGCGCTTAGTAGCGAAGGAAGCCGCTAATGGGTTGCAAGCCCGAGAGCTGTCT